TAAAACACGAATCAAAGAAAGGCTAAGAGAGCTTTTAACTTTTTTTGTGGGAAAATGGCAAAACGCTTTTATGTTTCACAATTTTAACTTTGAAGTAGATCAGGCTCTCATTATCTATGAAAAATACATTTAAATTTTTTTACCCCAGTGTAAAAAGTAACAAAGAAATTTATATATATCTTAGTGTTAACAGGTCAAGTTACAGAACATTAAATGATATAAATGAATCCCCAACAAAATTTGCTATACTTATAAGTCTAAAATAACTATTACAGACAACTTTAGTTTAGAGAACACCAGTTTGATAAAATGGTATTTTAAACCTTCTACTTTAAAGACTTGTATACTTGGAAGATATGAACCCATTCAATATACAAATAATAGTAGTAGCACCACAATTACATTGATGTTTTTCTATCAACCAAGTTTAGCTTTTAAAGAATAATTTAGTCTCTGTAACAGTACAATATACCAAAATAACAGTTGTTGTTTAATAGGAATTGTATAGACCCTAATTCTTTTGAGGATAGTTGCTCTGAAGAATAAAACATAACAGACACAATGTTAAGAGTTAATTAATTCTCTTAATTTAAAAAATTCTTGTCATTTCAACACATAGATTAAACTTTGGTCTATGTCAATACATTGATATTTGACCTTAGTGAAAACCTTGAATAGCATTAACTGATTGTGTTATTTATATACAATCAACTTAGTTATGCATAAACTTTTTAAAAATTCCCTGAATTTTAAAATTCACACAGACCTTTTTATCACATACTGTGACCCTCTGGATGTTGTCTCTTTCCAAGCTGTTGACCCCTTTTTAAAATAAATACTCTAAAATCCTTGTAAATTTCTGAATTTAGATAAATAACTTCATTTTAACAAGCTGAAATACTTTTTTATTTACAGTATTCTAATTGAAATGTGGTTGAAACTTGGACTCTTGGTATATAGAATTATACTGTTGGGACTTTTGACTCTTAGTAACCTTGATTTCAGTGTTATACAAAGCAATGTTATACCTTTTTTTTTAATTTACCAATTTATTAAAACACCAATGTTTAAGTATGTAACCCTGTGGAATTCAAGGAGTTAAGAGTACTTTATGTTATTTAGTAGTTAGCATTTTAACTTTGTAAAATAATTAGATAACTGTAATAAACACATTTATGATTAATCCTATATAAGTCAAATCTAATTTAATCATTTTTTAAAACCCAAGATATTGGACAAGTATATTAAACAGCATCAATCAGCCATCTCTTTCTTGTTGGAGAAAAAAATAGTAGAATCAATGGATATTAGACATTTTATAGACATCATCATTTTATTAGTTGTTTGACACCCCCCACCCCCCGAGAATCTTGTGAGGTAATAACTTTTAAGAGATTTTTACTTTCATTTTTTGACCTGATTTAAATTAAACTCTTTAAATTGTAGGGATTAAATGTAATTGGATTCATTTTCTTTTTGTTTTTAATTTTAATTTATCTATATGCCAATTTTGATACCAAATACATGGACATAACAATAAACCAGGGTACATACATACACTAAATAAACAAAAGCCTTGTAGCTATGTAAAACCTATTAGATTGAGAACTAATCCTTGCAAATTTCCCTCTGAACAAAGCAATTTGTAAAAAATCTCTATAGTTGAATAATAATAGGACTGATCAGGAAAATGTATTAACCTAGCTGTGCAGGACCAAAATGTGAATTTCACCATAAAATGAGGAGGTCAAAAATATAGAATTAAAAAAAAAAAACAATAGTCCTAGAACAAGTAATAGAGCTGTGCCTGGTAAGACATTATTTTTTATTACTTCCCCCCCCCCTTTTTTTTTTGATGCTGGAGATTGAACCCTCATGTGAGGCAAGCACTCTACCCAACTGAGCTATATCCATCCACAGCCTATTTTTTATTACTTTGAGGATAAAGTTTCTATCTCAAGCTCCTAACTGAGATATGCCATTGGTTGTCTATTATGTGACTATTTCTAGAATTATTTCTCCTCTTGTCAGTGACAAGCAGGTTAAATTTTGTTCCATAGGTAAGCTCAGGACAGGGACTTAAAGTAAGGCCCCTTTTTAAGATCTTCAAGGCTTCCAAAGCTGAATTACATCTCAGAATGGGAGTAGACTTTTTGGTAATAGGCTGTCCAGACACCCATCACAGAGGAAAGAGGTCGAGGGTAAGAGGTGAGTATAGAAAATCTGGCACCAGTGTCCAAGAGGAAACTGACCTCTTGACTTCCTATGGAGCTCATGCGTGATGATAGGAGTTAGGGGGGGGGGGCATTGGAATCCACCTAGGGCCCAATCAGGCCTGTGTGGAAGAGTCTGGCCTGGAAGACTTATGCCTCCAATGACCTCATTCCTCCAATGATGACCTTGACATTTAGGGCAGGGCTTCAAAAGTGGCTGTTTTGCCTATCCACAACAAAAACAAGTGCCTTTTGTGGCTCAGGGTGCGTTCCATTTTATTTTTTCTTTCTTGTCCAGGTAGCTCACTCCTCTTAGGACTGTGACCAGTTCTCCAGCCTTTTTCTTGTCTCTATGTTCTTTCCTTCTTATTCTGACCTTTGTTGTAAAAGACGGAAGTTGTAAGCCAGAGGATATCATCTAAGGATGAACCAGGGCCATATGCCAATTTTTCTAAATGTCTGGAGCCAACTAAATGACAAATGTATCCTTTAAAAGTAGTTGGCCCTGTATGAATTTAGAATTCGGGGTGGTGTATTTTCTTATTGCCTCCCCGAGTCTCTCCATGAAACTAGCAGGACTTTCCTGGGGGCCTTGTACAATATTATTTACCTTGGAATGGCTAATGGGCTTTGTTTGGTTTCCTGAGGGCATTGATGATTAACATTTGGAAATGACTAATATTCCTGGCATTATGCTCATCACTCAGATCCCAGTCAAGATTGTTCTGGGACCACCTGTGCTCAAGAACAATGATTAGTTTGTGCTGCTGGGGCACGAGCAAGAAGGAGGCCATCCCCTGTTCTTTAGCTACTTTTAGGGTACCTCCTTCTCACTGGAGGTTAAAGTTCGGTTAAGTAATAGCATTATATAGGTGAGGTCAAACACCTGGCCTAAGTTCTGAAATGCCTCAACATATTAATCTGGATCTTTCAAAAGCCTCCCTAGATTTATTCTTACCTGTTTTAAGTCTTGGAGGGAGAAAGGGGTATGTACTTTAACTGGTCCAAATCCTCCCCCTGGCATCTCTTGGAGAGGTGGTATATTTCATCTGCTTAGTGGGGCCAGGGTATGGAGGACAGGAGGACTGCTGATATTGCTAATGGATATCAGCAGGAGATGGGGGTTTAGGGGGTCCCCCTGATTTCTCTCCCTCAGTAGGTGATTCTTTAGGCCTTCTCCTCTCATGGCAGCAATTACTGAGGCAAGGCCTGGCAGTATAAGAAAATGAGGCACTTTTTCTTGATTGTCTGTGGGTCAAACTTATCTTAATTTTTCAGTATGCAGGCTAGTGGTGAACCTGGCAGTACTGTTGAGAACAAAGCTCCCTCCTACCTGGGTCCTTGGAGACCTGGATCCATGAGCTTCTGGCAGTCCGGCACATCACCTCTCATCACCTGGATCTGCCAATCCTAATGGTGGCTGGATTGGCAGGTGCTAAAGTTCTCAGTTGCCCTGTGCCAGACACCCAGGAAAATTCAGACTTAAGGGCATTTACTGATGTCCCTGCCACTATAAATTTTCCAATTATGAAGACGCACAAAAAAAAAAAAAAAAGAAGAAGAAAAAAAAACCACCTGTATACTCGTTTGTTCTGTGGATTAAAGGACTCTCTGGAGGGTAAGGGAACATCTAATGGTTATTAGGCAGAAAATGCCCTTTTCCTGGAAGAGTTTATTGAAGGGGTTGATTTTTTTAAAAAATCACTTTCCTCTTACAGCTTTAAAAAAAAAATACGTTGAGCACATCTGAGCACAGGAACAGTAATGGGGAGATCCTAAACAGGCTATAAAGGCTTACTATGTAAATAAAGAGGGTGTTTTACTAACAGTTCTCACCCTAGAGTCTGAATTTCTAGTGTCTGATCAGTGAAGAAAGGGCAGCACCTGGAGGGATCAGATTTGGGGGAGCGTACCATGGCCCCCAGGGCAGTGTCATTGGCATTTTCCCTCAGGGCCACATTTCAGCAATCACAGTCTGGCTCCCTGAGTGGGAATGTGTTTACCCCCCTGCAAATAGGGTTTCATTCTGAGCTGTGGGTGAAGCAGACACCTTACCTGAACTGGTTCAAGTGTTTGCTTTTCTTTATTTTTAATTGCTTTTACTGCCATGTAACTAATTTGTCATGCACTTAATTGTATTTCCTTGTTGTCTTTCTATTTTCTTGACTGAAAAATGAGTGGACGGAATTAAAGTGTGAGGTGGTCTTGGCCATGTAGCCGCAGGCTCTTCCCAAGAGATGGATGCCTGTCTGCTTCCTTTCCAGTCTGGCCTGACCTGACTCCCACCTCCTCCGAAGTCAGGGTTGGCTGCCTTCACACTGAGTATTTTGCCTCGCACAAGATTTTGACTCTGTGTCCAGGCAGAAGATGCAGAAAGCGTCTCCTGAGAGCAGGAAGACAATAGGGCCTGCTTTGGAAAGCCAGGGTCATGTCTGCCTATGTGGAAATGTCCCCCAGGTGGGATAGGTCCCCTTGCCGGGAGGAAACTTTGCCTGAAAGGGGATTTTGCCAAGAACCTGTTCTTCCAGCTTCATTTATCCAGGAGTCTGCTACATTTCCTGTCACTCAGGGCCCCAAAGTGTGCATATATGAGCTGGCAGGATAGAGGGGTGTTGTAGAGCCCTGAGCAGTCAGCAGGCAGGTGGTGGCAGGGGGTGGCCTTCCACAGTCTCAAAGGCCTTCATCTCTCATTCTCTGCAGCTCAGAATCCATCTCCAGGACTGTGTCTTCTCTGCTGTGTGAGGCCCAAGGGGCTCTGGCTCAGATCTGTCTCCCTGTGATTTGCAGGTGCTGTGAGGTCCATAGGGAGGCTGTCAGGACTCCCCAGAAGGCAGGAAATGGTGAGTGTGTGGGATCAGGACTGCTCAGGTGGGAGATAAGATGGTTAGAACTGGGATCCAGCTGTGGCTGGACTCTGTCCTTTCACTGTCCACTCCAGAGTCAGTCAATCCAGACCTGAGGGAGATGTTGCTACAGTTCAGCCCTTGATGCCGTCAGGCCATGGTGTGGGTTGGTCCCGTTTGGGCTCCCAGTGTGCTGTCTGGTCTGCAGCCACTTTGGCAGAATCCTCTCTTCTCAGCTGGACCCCAGCCCTAGTCTCTCAGTGTGCAATGAAGGCAGACCATTTTCAGGGGATACTGTCCCAGGGATGGGGTTCCTGTGTTCGAGGTTATTGGTCTAGGGGTCACCATCCCTCTTCCTCCCCTAGGAGTCTCTAACTTTCCCACCCCATCTTCCACATGTTTGGGAAACAGGGTCTCCCTTTCCTTTCCCCAGCCTAGCCCCTCTTAGGGCTGGCAGTGAACCCCTAAACTTGCATATCTGCCAACATTTCCAGACTCCAACTCCTCCTCCAGTTCACAGCATTATCAACTGTTCCCCTCACTACATTCAAGTGGGCACAGTATTTTAATTATCACTTTTTCACTGAATGATGCATGATACTTTTTTAAAAATTTGTTTCTTATTTGTGAATATCTACCATGAGGGGAAAGATGGAACTCCACTATTAAAACTCTTTGGGTCTTCCTTTATCTTTTCCCAGTACAGACACCTTAATATCTTTGGGCACAGATTCCTTTTGGATACTTTACAGGGCCTTGTGTCCTGAGCCACTGTCCTGGCCTCTCCTGGGGCTGCCACAAGGTGCCCACAGTTGCCCTGTGTCCTGCAGGTGCGGGGAATTTCATGCCGTGGGTCAGCTCCTCCTAGAGGACAGCCTGAGGTTTGGGGTGTATCCTTTCAGGGGAGCAGCTGGGGGTCCTGGAATTGAGGAATCTCTGTAACAGGCCTCATCTCTACTGCTGCCTCCTTGGGACATTGTCACTCCTGTTCCCACTTCTTGTAGTCAGGTGGACATCAGCCTGTAGATGCTGGTGCTAAGGGGCCAGGTCAGCAGTGATTTCTCTCCCCTGTGTTCTCTCACAATTGTGAAGGATCAAAAACTCTGCCAAAGCTTAAGAACCTCCCACCCCAGTGCAGTGCTGTGCAAACCTGAAAAGCCTCATAGAGTGGAGTCAGGGTCCAGGTCTCGTGGGAGGGTGATCATGGAATGTTTCAATGAGCAAGACCAGGTGAGAGGGTCCCCAGCTGTCCAGAACCTTACCTGCCCCTTGAGCCTGACATATCTGTGCTCCCTCAGCTCCAGCCCTATCTGTGTTTCTCATTTGGAAATGACCTTCTTTATAGATAAATGTAATATCAGAATTCACTGTGATATATTTATAGAGGCACATAGCATATTTTGTTCCATTTCATTCCATAGTTCCTCTCTAAATAAAATATCAAAATAGTTGGGGGATGTGACTAAGTGGTTATGTGCCCCTGGGTTCAACACCAATTACAAAAAAAATATATTGACATTAGAATTATTTGCAGTAAAACATGCCAAGGTAACAAAAACTCTTGCTGAATCTCAGTTTGGATTTCATTATTTTTTGGGACATGTAAATGACATCTGTCACTCTTTAGCTGTGGGTCCCTCCAGAGATGCTAGGACACAGAAAGCACTCGGCTCATTGCTGTGGACCTCCTCCGGGCAGTTCTGGTACCATCCCCAGGGCCTGTGGTTGACTGCCCAGGGGTGCAGCCTTGTCTGTTAGGTTCTATGATGGTTGCTGTGGGTAAGCGAGTACCTGCTGTCCTCAGCAGGATGCTTTTCATAGTGATGTGGAGCCTGGCAGCTGTGTCTGAACACAGATCCTGTGGCTATGAGTTCTCTGCAAGTCATCTGTGGTTCAAAAATGTCCCCCCTACGGCTTACTGGGGTGCTGTCCTCAGTCCTGAGTACAGAGGTTCCACTGGTCCCCTGGGTTCTAACTTGCCCAAGGTCATCAACAGCAGGTGCCCACTCCTTCTGCTGAGTGACTGAGGCACAGCGTCCAGCTAGTGTCCAAACAGTGCCAACATTTCCCAGCTGTGGCCACAGTGGCTCAGGCTGGGAGCTGTTTCTCTCTGCTGCCTTAGCCCGGACAACTTTCTGCTTTGACCCACCTCCTGATGTCTATGTGGACAATGTGGGCACTTCGCCTTCAACTTCTGGGGACTCAGGCAACTCCTCCTCACAGCCTTTGGTGGGTGGCTGCCACAATCTGGGGACCATCTCTCCATGCCCATGGATTGCCGAGCAGCTTCCTCTGTCATTGACCACAGGTAGTCTGTGGCTAAATTGGTGGGGAGATATTCTTTTTGGGGTCTCATGCAGCTTCCTGCCACTTCTCCCCCGAGTATTGTGGTCAGTGGTGACAGCGATCCTGACGGTCGCCCTTTCCTTTTCTCAGAGGCTGACCCTGCCTAGTTGCTTAGTGGGAGCTCTAGATCACCCTGCCCCAGAGCAGGCGTGCTGCTGCCTCTACCCAGGCTCCCCTCGGCGGTCGTTAACATGGTAATGCTTTGAGCTCATGATCACTAGGTATATTTTCATTTATTTGTGTCTCATTTCATTTCTTTTAGGAACATATTATAGTTTTCAGTATAAAATCCTCATTCTTGGTTAATACCTAATTTTTTTTTTATTCTTGATATTATTTTTCAATGCCTTTCTAAGGTTACTCATTTTCAGTGTATGCAACTGATTATCTGTGAAGGGAGATAATTTTACTTTTTCTTTTCCAATCGGGTGCATCTCTTTTCCACTCTTTTCTCCCTGCATAATTTCCCCTAGCCACTGTTACTATTGCTGCCTTGGAAGGACCTGGTGAAAGGAGCAGATCTCATGTTCCTAGAGAGAGCTTTTCTTGATTTTACCGTTGGACATGATGTCCTCTGTGCTTTTCACATATCGCCTCTGATTATGTTGAATGAATCCCCAGTTTGTTTTTGTGGTCAATGAGTGTGTTGTCTTCTTCAAATGCTTTTTCTGTATCAATTCAGATGGCTCTGTGTTTTAGTCATGTTGCTAATGCTCTGTCACATCGATTGATTTTCATGTGTCCGCCCATCGTCCATTTCAGGGATACCTATTTCTTGGAAGCAGTGTATAATTCTTTAAATGTACCTCCAAAAATGGTTTGTTGGTATTTATATGAAGATTTTAAAAAATTTGTTTTTATGTGGTTTTAGGATTGAATCCAGTGCCTCACACTTATGAGACAAGTGCTCTACCAATGAGCTACAACTCCAGCCCTGAAGATTTTTGCATAGGCACTTATGAAAGATATTTATCTGCACTTTTCTGTATACATAATGAGCAGAATTTTGGCCTCAAAGAGTGATACAGGGAGTAGTTTCTCCTCTTCAGTTTTCAAAAAGTATTTGAAGGAGATATGTGTTAATTGTTGTGAATGTTTGGTATTTCAGAAGTGAACCACTTGGTCCTGGGTTTTCATTTGTTGAGGGTGATCCATGCTGTCCATCTCAGAACTGTTCATATTTCCTCCTTCTTCTAAGCATGGCATGTTTCTGGACATCTGTCCACTTCCTCAGCGTTGGTCCATCTGTTGTACCCTTGGGAAGTTGTTAACTGAGGTGTGATACCTACAGTTCCTTCTTCCATGCTGTTGTGATGGAGGTATTCTGCTGTTGACACAGTGTCTTGGCGGGGGGGGACATTCTGTTGACTGTTGCCTTGGCCTGGGTTCAGGACACGCAGGCCTTCCAGGGCCATTCTTCATGACCAATCCTCAGCCCTCTCTCCTCCCTGATTAGAAAGGAAGGTTAGCGGGGGATGGAGCTAGGTGCTTCTCTTTCCCCAGAAAGTTTGGCTCCTAACATCTTGGGTGATTCAGCCTTCGGAGATAGTTTCTTTTGAATGTAGGGCTCAGGAAGGATGGAGTTCTCTGGGCATACTGGAAAATGCCATCTTTTTGCCATGCTTTAAGCAGTAAGCTTGTGTGTGTGTGTGTGTGTGTGTGTGTGTGTTTATGTATGAGACAGAGAGAGAGAGACCTCTTCACTGTAATATATTGATGGTGTTTCTAGAGGAAAAACATCATGAATTTGTAAAAATAGTCATAAAAATCACTGGGCTGTAGGTCATGGTAAATTTCAGGTAAGGGGAAGTACCATGCAGTGCCAGCTGTCCTCCGACTCCTCCTTCTCGCTCCCTGACTGAGGGGTCCTTGTCCTGCAGGTGGTGTCAAGCCTCACCTGCTTGGCCTTCTCCCGGGCTTTCCTCTTCACGGAGAGGAGAGGTGGTCCTTTCTCCACTCGTGGCTCTCACCTGCTGTTCCTCCTCCTGGCTGTTTCCTGACCAACGTGCACTTACTCACCTCACTCTGTGCCCGGCTCTCTGAGGTCGTATTATTGCAGGTTTCTCCTGCAATGTTTTCCATCTTCTAATTCCCTTAATTTTAATGTATTTGATTTTCTCATTCTTCTCCATTACTGTTTACTCTTCTTAGGTAAAAATGGTTTTTCTATTCCTCTCAAATCATTTCCTCTAAACTTCTGGGAGTGTTTTGATTTTCTTTGATGTGAGAATTTAGAATTGTGAAATAGGACTGAAACACATTTTTGCAATTAGGTTTGTCTTGGCCCATGTTTCATATTGCTTGTGATTTTTTTTTTCCCTTCTAGAATACTTGTTATGTCATCAATCGGCGTTCCTTATAAGGTCACCCCCCGAAAACTTTCTTGTCTCTTGGTTCCTTTTTCCTGTGTCTGCTAATACGGCGCTGCTTGGAGTGTCATAATTGGAAAGACCTAGATGTACAGTCATGTGTCACTTAAATATAGGGATGCATTCTTGAGGAATATATGTAGGCTGCCTCATGATTGCACAAACATCATTCTCTATTCACATGATCCTGGATGGCACAGCCTCTTGCACACCTAGGCTCTGTGGTGTTGGTGGTTCCTGGGCTACAAACCTCCACAGCATGTTGTTTTACCAAATACTGCAGTTGACAATGCATTAGGTTTGTTATTCCAGCATCATTGCACACATAAGGAATCCCTTTGCTATAGACACCTGTGTATGTGTCGCCTATGTGACCAAACATGTCTTTGAGTAAAACATTGTTGTGTGGCTCCTGACTGTATATTAGAAAAGTCAGCAGTCTATGGTTCAGAAAATGTTGACAATTGTTACACATTTCTTATGCCTATTAGGCTTGGCAAATTACTTCTTGACCACTATGAAGTCTATTTTGGAGATTTATAAAATTGGGCAAGGCTATCATTTGGAAGAGGTGACCTTTGTTGACATTGAGTTATTCCTAAAACACACACATCTTTCCACTTACCCCATTCTGCTTTGTTCTTGTTAGAACTATTAGACATTTGTTGTTCATGAATTATTGTTCTTTTGTCCTGGTTGGTTAGACTTGATTTGGAGTAACTCAGTTGCAGCTAATTTTTCTCAATCCCCATGCTTAAAGCATGGCAAAAGGATGGCATTTTCCAGTATGCCCAGAGAACTCCATCCTTCCTGAGCCCTACATTCAGAAGAAACTATCTCCTGGGGATTGTCTGCCAGAGAAGCTTCCAATCTCCTTAAGCACAGGGTTTGTTTTTTCACTTGTTTGTTTATTTTCAGATGGGTGACCCTTTAGGTTTTAAAGTAACAGTGGAACAAAATAATCAGATTTCTGAAGGAAGGCAGACGTTCAGTAAAGATCATGTTGTTTACCTATACTCTCAGCACTAGGACTTAGTGTTACTGCTTAGTTTGGTGAGATTACTCCCACATACTTAGTTCTCTCTATCAGAAAAAGTCCAACTTTATCAGCCAGGCATTTCTAAGCGTAGGTACTCTCAGGATGACTAATGTTAGCTCTTTTCTGCACATGAGATAGAAGGGTTTCATTATTCCACGTATTAGACATGCACCCTACAAAGGCATTAAGGGTGACCCAGGAGCATACTTTACTCACTGGACTCCATAATGAGGAGGATGTTTTTGCTCTGCTGATGCATTTCTGGAAAGTCCAGGACTTATATTGGAATCCCTCTGTTTGGGCAATTGAGTGCACAAGAATACAAGTTTTGATGACAAAATCATGGAATAAATATTTGGAGATCACAGAAATGTGACAACATCTCACATGATGGGAATAGAGCCCTAATGCTGTCAATTTCTCCTGGCCTGCACTACACTTTTCTGGAATATTTTAGAATTCAGTGGCCTTTGAGGATGTGGCTTTGAACTTTACACAGGAGGAGTGGGCTCTGCTGGATCCTTCCCAGAAAAATCTCTACAGAGACGTGATGCAGGAAATCCTTAGCAACCTGGATTCTGTACGTAAGGATGATGTTTCATTACATAATCAAACACTGAGTAATTGGGAGGGTTTTGTTTTTTCTTCATTTTTTAAACCAAGGATTGAATTCAAGGGTGTTCAACCACTGACCCACATCCTTTTTTGTACTGTATTTAGAGACAAGGCCTCCATAAGTTGCTGAGGCTGGCTTCGAACTTCAGATCCTTCTTCCTCAGCCTCCCAAGCTGCTGGGATTACAGGTATTGGCCACAAGGCCTGGCAAGTGGGAGTTTTTTTCTCATGGATTTGGAATGTGGAATGGGTTTGCATTGGAGAATATATTGGGCCTAATGTCTTGCACTCTGCCGCATAAATCCCATATTTTTTTCCTTTTTCCTTCATTTTAATTTTTGCATTAGAGTTTTTCATATTATAAATTCCATAATTTATTCTGAAATCATGATGATTTATAATGATTGTTCTGTGTCTATATTTTAGGAGACAAATGGGAAAATCAGAACACAAATCCCAGGAGAGATCTAAGGTAATTTGTGTTCACTAGAGGAAACAGCGTCTTGAGGGAATTGTAACATGTCCTATAATTTTACAACACAAGCATAGAAAACAACCATGATATGAATTATAGTTATTCTCATTTAACCAGAAATATGAACTTTAATGTACAATACATGTTTTCACAAATAATTGATTAATTGACAAAGCTGTAAAATGTTCTCATGATACTACCGTTTTGATATTAGCTCTGAGAATCAGTATTTTCAAACAGTTTGGACATGACAGAAAACAAATACTTTCCCTGACATTGGTAATAGTGTAAGTGCAACACCAACTCATTAATATAAAAGTGTTAATGAGCCAACCATAAATTTCCATATAATGTTTTTACAGAAGTCATATGGTAGGTTCTGGAAAAATTAAAATAGGTACTCAGTGTGGAAGTACCTCTAGTGGGATCCCAAATCTTAGTCTTCACCAGAGCTTTTCCACTAGAGTAATTTCATGTGTAAGGAATATGTATAGACAAGTCTTCATATATATGTTTTTTCCTTAATAGGCACATTATATCCCACTCTACAAACAAACCACAGGAGAATGAGGAGATTGGAAGGAAGCCATATAAACTTAAACTGAACAGAACATCTGTAATTTCTTTTACAAGTGTTCAAAGGCTAGCATTAGTGCACATTGTAAACAAAACTTATGAATGTCTGACATGTGGAAAAGAGTGCAGTTGTTCCACATATTTTCAAAAATATAAACAATCTCATACTGGAGAGACAGCCTACAGATGTAACCAATTTGGAAAAGTCTTCATTCAATCCTCTTACCTTCAAGTACATAAACATAGTGGAGCGAGGCCATATGAATGTAAACAATGTGGGAAAGCCATCAGTCCTTCCTCTTCCCTTCAAAGACATAAACGAACTCATGCTGGAGAGAAGCCCTATGAATGTAAACAATGTGGGAAAGCCTTTGTTTCTTCTACTTGCATTTCAGAACATAAACAAATCATACTGGAGAGAAGCCCTATAAATGTAAGCAATGTGGGAAAGCCTTTGCTTCTTACAGTTCCCTTTGTCAAAATAAACGAATTCATGCTGGAGAGAAGCCCTATGAATGTAAACAATGTGGGAAAGCATTTACTCCTTCTTTACAACTTCAGACACATAAACGAACTCATACTTAAAAGAAGCCCTATGAATGTCACCAATGTGAGAAAGTCTTTGTTTCTTCTACTTCCCTTTGGCACCATAAATGAATTTATACAGGAGAGAAGGCCCATGAATGTAAACAATGTTCACAACATGAACAAATTCATACAGGAGAGAAGACCAATGGATGTTATGAGGTCCTTGCTTAGCATCTGGATGGCCATATTAACTGAGAGCCGCCATTTTAAGTGAAAAATTTTGCTTTCCCACCCAACGGCATTTCTGAGAAAGGCTCACCACTCCCTCATACCAACCCAACCCTAACCACCCACATTAGGACCCATCCACTCTGATTCCTGAGCCCTCCCATAAAACTCCTGGAACCCCAAGCCTGTTTTGCCTCTCTCCTCTATAGAGAGATGACCTTTATTTGTCAGCTCTGACAAATAAACTCTCATGTGTATCTCTGCCTAGTCTCTTTCATTTCTCGATTACTCATCTCTCATTCCTCACTTTCCCTTCAGTTTGGTGCTGAAACCCGGGATAGTGTTCCCTGGTGTGCCCACTCGCCTCTTCGAGGGTCACTGAGGGTCCCCAAGCCCCGATCCAAATTCCATCGTGAGACCAAGCGCTCATTCTGCTAAACGCCCTCTCTACACCCACAACTGGACATTCCAAAAGCCCCTGTCTCTGATTGACCTAAACAAACTACAGGTCCTGGGAAATGACCTTGAATGTCCGGCACTCCCAGGATTACCGCATGGTTGGGGGCACCCCCAGACACAACTTTCACAGCTATGTCTGATCCCTACTGTCAATCGAGTCTGTAGGTGGTCTTTTATTTGGGTTCTGGGTTTTGAGAAAAAGCCACGAAGGGTGATTGTGAGTTGTTCCTGATGAGATTACCTCTAAACCTTGGGTTAATCTCTACAGGCTTCTACCCCTACTACATAGTCCCGGCCAGGTGCCCAAGTGCCTCTACAGGCTCCTGCCCTGACATTTACCCAACAGCAATGATGACCCTGAGTGTAACCATCCTCTTGACTGGGTAATACTAGAGACTGGGGGACACCCCACCTCTAAACTCACCTCCTAGGTCTTACCATGGACAACTCCTCATCCCATTCCCTCCCATAGTCCCTAGGCTGCCTCCTGGCTAACCTAGGGTCTCTCTCTCACCCAGAACCTAAACCATGTAAACCTATGCGCTTGGGCAATCAGATCCTTTGGATAACGATTCTGAATTGCCACTTAACAGCACCCTAGATCCCGTTATTATCACAGATCTTTTCAACTATTGTGAGCAACTAGGGAAAATGGAAAGAGATACCATATGTTCAGGCCTTTTTCTTTGTACATTCTAAACCCTCTCTCTGCAACTCTTGCTCTCCCACAAAAATCCTCTTAGCTCTCACCTCCCCTATGACTGCTTCCAAAGGGACAGAAGATCTTACTCAGGAATCCTCCTTCAACCCAGCAGATGAGCCCCCACCATACCACAATTCTTTCTAATGAAGCCTCTGCAGCAATTGTCCCCTCAGGCCCTCCACGCTTCTCTCCTCTCACCACACACTCGTGGGCTGCCACTGCCCAACCCTCATCTCTGTGTCCTCTATGCTAGTTGGCTGGGGTAGATGGTGTAATCTGGGTTCATGTGCCTTTCTCTTTGTTAGACCTTTCACAGATAGAAAAGTGGCTTGAGTCCTATAATTCAAGCCCCACCACATATATATCAGACAGTTTCAATATCTGACTCAATCATATGATTTGACCTTCCACGATGTCCATATAATCTTGTCTAAGGAGGAGTGCAGGTGAGTTTGGGAGCAAGCTAGGAATTATGCTGATGAGGTACATCAGATCTACCCTGCCCATCTGATTGGCACTGAAGCACTCCTTGATTGGGACCACAATTGGGATTATAATTTGCCTAAAGGAGTAACTAGTAGAAACCAATTTATTACTTGCCTCATGGCAAGACTTAGAAAGGCAGCCCATAAGGCTATCAATTATGAAAAGCTCCAGGAAATCATTCAAGGTAAGAATGAAAACCTTTAGCATTTTTAGATCGCCTGACCAAGGCTTTATTACAATATACTAATCCAGACTCCAGATAGGAAACAACTACTAATGACCTACTTTTTTTCCCCAGAGTTTCCCCAATATTAAGGCCAAACTAAGGTGCCTCTAATTCCCCAAGCTGAGGTTTTGAAAGTGGCCTTTAAGGTGTATAGTGAGAAGGTCCAAAAGCAGAAATATCAGATACTTTCTCAAGCCAACCGTCCAGTCTTAGCATCTGTCCCTGGTTCCACTGGCCTGTGGAAGCGTACCTTGAGACCACGCGGACCCTGTTTTAAATGTGGTCAGACGGGTCCCTGGGCTCATACATGTCCGAAGCCTCGCAAGCCTCCGGGCCCTTATCCTAAATGCCATCAGGAGGGACACTGGGCCATTGGCTATCCCAAGCCCATCGCGGCCCCTATCCATCCAGCTCTTCTGGTTCCCTTTTCCAACTCTTAGGACTGGCTTTTCCAACTCTTAGGACTGGCTGCAGAGGATGAACGAGGCCCAGGTCCCCATCACCTGACCACTACTATCACTCCTCGAGAACCCAGGGTAACTCTGCATATTTCAGGTATACCTGTCTCCCTCCTCCTAGACACCAGGACTACATATTCAGTCCTCAAGGAGTTCTGAAGGCCTACTACTGGTTCTATGACCTCTATTGTTGGGGTAGAGGGTGAACCTTACCAACCTTTACAGGCACCTAGCCTTGTTTGCGTTTTTGGCTCTCTAGTTTTTACCCACTCCTTTTGGTCATTCACAGTGCCCTGTTCCCCTTATTGGAAGGCACAACCTCACAAAGTTGGGGGCTATGCTTTCCTTCTCCCCTCATACATGCTTCCATCCAGACTCACCTGCCGCTCCCCTGATCCTCACCCTGACCTTAGGACCATCCCTATTCTGTCTGCCAGTGCCAAGGTGGACCCTACTGTCTGGGATGTTTTAAGTCCTTCTATCGCCTCACACCATGGACCCATTCATATCTATCTCAAAGACCCCCTCCATTTTCTGGTACCTGCTTTCCCGACAAAAACTCCTAGGCTTACAGCTTATCATTCAAGACCTCTTGCAAAAGGAATCTCCTAGACCTACTAATTCCCTTTAAAATACCCCCATCTTGGCAGTAAAAAAGCCCAGTGGTTCCTACCACTTGGTCCAAGATCTCCGTTCCTTCAACTCTGCAGTTGTCCCAATCCATCCTGTGGTAACCAACCCTTAAACCTTTTTCTCCACCATTCCTTCTGGGACCTCTTACTGCTCAGTGCTAGACCTGAAAGATGCCTTCTTCACTATTCCCCTCCATTCTGACTCTCAAGACATTTTCATCTTTACATGGAATGACCCTGAGTCTTATAACTCCATTCAGCAGGCGGGGACAGTTCCCCCAAGGGTTCTAAGACAGCCCTCATACCTTCGGACAGGCCTTGGCTAAGGACTTAGCATCCACACATCTCACTCAGTCTATGGTGCTACAGTATGTTGATGACCTCCTTCTTTGCAGGTCAGCCTTCAGGACACCTATAAACTTCTTAACTTCCCTTTCTGCCCATGGCTATAGGGTTTCTCCATCCAAGATACAGCTTTCCTTGGCAATGGTAATATACCTAGGCTTTCTCCTGAGCCCTACACACAAACCCATTACGGTTGATAGAAAGAGCCTTATCACTAATATACCAACACCCCCTTCTAAGGAAGAAATTCCCTCCTTTCTAGGTATGGCAGGATTCCCCAGAGCTTGGATTCCTTACTACTCTATATTGGCTAAGCATGTATATGATGCAGCCCAGGGCCTCCTCTCTGAACCCCT